TCAACAAAACTTATTTGAAATGACTTTGTAGATTCACAAGTAACTTGGAAATCTCACTGATGGCAATAAAGGTTTCTATTAATCAGACAATGCTGTGTACTCCAGGGAAGGGAACACAGCCTCAAGCTGCCTATCATCTAGTTGGGTCTGGGGACATGGAGAGCCATTAGGAGGCTGCTGGACCAGAAGTCAGAAAGGGAAAATGATGGAGCTTTTCCAGACATATTTCTGTCTTTTTAAATATTCCCCAACCCTTTCCTGCCTCTCTTTGACTTCAAGGACCATCCATCCATCCATTCATCATCCATCCATTCACACATCTATCCATTCATACATCTGTCCATCCATCCATTCATCCATCCATCCATCCATCTACTCAGCTTGTCCGTGACTTAAAGTTGACTGTGTCCAATAGAGCAGGAGCCATCCTTGCCTTTTTGAGGCCACCTCATTGATTATGTTTCCACTAAGGCATCAGTTTCTAGTGTAGGATACTCCCGAACTCTTGACTCAAAATATTCATGACACTGGTGAAATTTCATTTCTTCCCTAAAGCCTTCCTATAAGTCCCCAATGTCATTTAATGAACCAGAAAATGATAGAATCAGAACTTTCTTTGAACTGGAAGGAATCTTAACAATCATTTCTTTTTACAGATGAGGGAACTGAAGCCTCTGAAATGAAGATGCTTTTCCCAGGGCCACCAGCTGTTGGGTGATGGATGTGGTCCTAAAAGCCCCCTCTTCTGCCAACTGGGCACCCACAGCAGCTGGGGCCCAGGGTGGGCACTGAGAGATGAACAAGTCCTTCCTACCTCCCTAACTCCTTGTTATTATTTATGTCTGACTTCCAAATAATGCTAGTCGATTGTGATAATATACTCTAGAGATTTTCTGCCCAACCGCAGTCTGGCTGACCTTTCCGTAATCTTCCTTTGCCAGATTCTGGGAAAAGTCTAAAGGGAAATTAACAGTGATGTTCAATTTTTTAAGGTTAAAACCTTGATTTCAGTTTTCAAACCACTGCCATTTTATTTAAGCTTTGAAAACTTTCCAGAATTTCCAGGTTTTTCTCATATAGGAATATACTGCTTTCACAACAACACAAGCAACTACAAAGTGGCTAGAATTAACCTGTAAAATAATTAATAGGAATATTATGTGATGCTCAATTCAAGACGTCTTCAGACATGAGCGTAGACTATGTCCCAAACAAGGGATCCCCCCCCAATCTTCTCTGTAATTTAAGGTTGTATGGTTAAATAGTAAACAACTCACAGTTGCAAAAAGGAAGTTGGAGACAGACTATAATTTTACATCAAATACAATTCCAAAGAGGTCTATAATTTGTGAGAATGGTATTGTTTCTCTGATTCTTTCCTTATATATCAGCTTCCCCTTAACACAAACCTATACAAAGGATTTCATGTTTTCAAGTGTTAGCATCTCCTGTGAAAGAATGAAAGAATTCTAACTTTGCCAGCACACCCTCAGTTTCCATGTGGGTCAGCAAGATAGACCCTAATACCAGAAGCTTCTGGGACGGCTTTAAATTAAGCCAAGCTAAAAAAGAGAAGTCTTTGGTGGTCTTTTGCTACCAATAAATCTGGGCATATAATCATTCCTATGTTTCATCAGAGTGCAATTCAATTGCATATGCAGAGTGGTGGCCTGAAATTTATCGGGGCGCAGAAGAACCTGGCATTTAAAAAATACCCAAATGAGGCAATTTTATGGCGCGGAGTTTCTAATGGCAGAGATGCCGAGAGCTAAAGAGGTTTCTAAGTGTTCTCTCCTCCTCAAATTCCGGGGCTATGCGCCACTGAAGCCGCTGGAGTGGTCTGGAATAAGTGCCAGGAATAACAAAGCCAGGGCAATCAGAGGCTGATGATGCGGAAAAACACACTTTAGCAAAACTGAACTACACGCGGGCTGCAGCGTTTCTGGGGTCAGCGCTGAGCCTTTGGAAGGAGGCTGGGGGCTGCCTGCTGCTGTTGGGGAGGGGTGGCAGGGCAGGGAAGGGAAGGCAGGCAGGTGCCTTCAGACAAGGTGGAGCCAGGATGGACGGACAGCATGGATAAAGCAGCGTGATCTTCTCTTCCAAACTTCCTCGGAATTCAGATCTTTCTTCTTTTAAGTTCAGTTTTTAATATTTTTTAATTTTTATTTTTAACTGGAGGATAACTGTTTTACAATATTGTGTTAGTTTTGGCCATACTAGTTTTTAATTTTTATTTCAAAATAAATTTCACACTTACCGAAAAGTCGCAAGAATAATACCCAGACTTTTCACATACCTTTCGCCCACATCCTTCAAATGTTAGCGTTTAAAAAATGTTTTACATTTGCGATGGGTGTGTAGTTGATTTACAATGTTGTGTTTCAGGGGTGCAGAAAAGTGAGTCCGTTATACAAGGCATCCCTTCTTTTACAGACTCGTTTCCCATAGAGGTTGTTACAGAAGATAGAGGAGAGTTCCCTGTGCTACATCAGACAGATCTTGAAAGGGGGAAAAAATTCCAAAAATGATGAGGAAAAGGAGGAGGCGCTGGCGAGGCTGAGCAGTGGAGAAGCCAAGCTGAGCCTCCAGCTGACTCTGGAGAGGGGATGAGGAGGCCAGGGGGACCTCGGGAAGCTGGGTTGCCTTCATAATTAGAGACTGAGGGCGCTGCATTTCAATATGAGATGATGTTCCTGGCTACCTGCTTTAAAAAGAAGGTCAAGTACCCCCAAGACAGGCCAGAGCCAATTAAGCTGCTTTTCTTCACCTTCAAAGCCCAGGAGAAGACAGGCCTTGATATTTACCTACCAGTCTTTCTCTTTTCCCTTTTCCCCAAGAGGGGAAAACTCCCACTTTGGCCAAAATGGTAGAGAACTCTCCAGATTGGCTGGCGTGGCAGGGGTGGGGTAGGGTGGTGATGGTGGTGCCAGTTCAGTGCTGATGTTTTAAACACTAATGCCATTTAAACAAAGCACAAGAAAACGCTCTTTAATCCGGTCTTCAACCCAGAAACCAACAAACCTGTTTTTAGAAAATCGAGCCCGTGGAATTCCCACCTGTAGGCATTTCTTTAGATTCCCAGGACTGCCATAGCAAAGCACCACAAACTGGGCGGCTCAGAATGACAGGAATGGTTGTCTCCCAGTCCTGGAGGCTGGAAGTTTAAGATCAAGGTGCCAGCCGGGCCTTGATGCCCCTGAATCCTGCATCCCGTCTTCCGATGGCCTTAGGGCTCCTGGGCTTGTAGACGCCTGGCTCCCCTGTGTCTTCAGGTCATCTTCCGTCTGGGTGTCTGTGTCCAAACGACCCATTTTCACGAGCGCACAGTCACACTGGATTGGAGCCCAGCCTCATGGCCTCATTTGAACTTGATCACCTCTGCAAAGGCCTCGTCTCCACACAAGGTCACATGCTGAGGTCCTGGGGGCTCAGGACTCCAGCGCATCTTTCTCGGGGGACACAGTTTAACATGTAGTGGGGTTTGGGGTCAGGGCGTGGATGGAGGCACGATACTCCGGCCTGACATGCTTCCACTGGAGGCTGTGGCCACCCCGAGAGTGGACTCTGCACGTCTCCAGAAGCACCATCGAAGAGCCCAGGGTCTGACCATCTCCATCCCTCTCCCGCAGGTTCTGTGCTTTCTTATTTTAAAAAATTGAAGCATAGTTTATTTACAATGTTGTGTTTATTTATTTTAAACTCTTGGCTGCCCCCTGTGACCTGTTTGGGTTCTGGTTTCCCGACCAGGGATTGAACCCGCACCCTCTGCATTGGAAGGCGGAGCCCCAGCCCCTGGGCCTCCAGGGGAGTCCCCTCTCCCATAGGTTTGGAACTCAACCTGCAGGTTTGTTTTTCCTTCCTAGGGAACCCAGCTTCAATTTTAAAAGAAAAACTAGTAGAAAAATGGGGTTCACATACCTTCTATTTAAAGGTGACATATTAAACAGCAACTTTTTAATCCCCTTTTTCCCCCCACACCCTGCTAAGATGATAGTAAGGCAATGAGAATTATTCCTAAACTATTAATAATGGTTCCAAGCATACGACACTCTGGAAATGGGAAAACTATGAAGAAGTAAAAGGATCGGGGGTTGCCAAGGGCTGCGGGGGAGAGAGTTGAATGGGCAAGGCACAGGCGAGTTTTAGGGCAGCAGTATTGTGAGGACACCACATTAGTGAATGTGTGTCACTCCCCGTCTGTCCAAGTCCATAGCGTGTTACCATGGAGAGTGTTCCCTGCTGTCTGACTGTGGGCTCCGGGCGATGAGGGCATGTTGATGTGGGATCGTGGATTGACCGGAACATCCCTCAGGTGGGGATGTTGATAGCCGGGAGATGGTTTACAAGAATTCTCTGCACCTCCTGTTCAATCCAGCTGTGACTCTAAAACCACTCTAAAAATAGTTTCATTATTAAAAATATTAACCCCAAAAGACAAGGCATTCAGAAAAGAGGGAAACTAAACGCTGTTTGGAAGATTCACAGGAGGTGGAGTAGTGGGATGAAGGAAGCCGGGGCGGGCAGGGTGGTGAGATGAGCTCCCTCGCAGCCTCGGTGGATCCACAAAGCCCTGAAGGCTCGGTGGTCTCTGGGGTCCCCACGCATGCTGGCCATCGTCCTGAGTTGGGGACTCTTTCCTTCCAGAGAGAAGCCCTCCACTGGCCCGGCTGCAGCAAGGTGTGACCAGCCCCCCAGGTGGGGAAGGAGGCTGGAGAAGGTACCAGGTCACCCATGTCATCCCCGGCACTCAGGGTCACCTCACCCCACTCCAGGGGATGTCCCAGAGACCTCCCCTCTCCACCCGACCTTCCCAGGCTCTGCTCTTAGCCCGGCCCCCACCCAGCTGGCTGATGCACCCTCAGCGGGAATCACCTGCTCCTTCATCTGCTGGCCCCCCTCCCTCACCACCTCACTCTCCTTCATGCTGTGAGTAAATGACCACTGCCCTGTGTCAGAATCCACATGCTTGTTTGGATAGACGTCCAGAGTATTAAGAGACTTCCTTGCTGGTCCAGTGGCTAAGACGCTGCACTCACAATGCAGGGGGCCCAGGTTCGATCCCTGGACAGGAAACTAGATCCCATATGCTGAAACTAAGACCTGGAACAGTCAAATATTTTGGAGAAGGAAATGGCAACCCACTCCAGTATTCTTGCCTGGAACATTCCATGGACGGAGGAGCCTGGTGGGCCACAGTCCATGGGGTCGCAAAGAGTCAGACACGACTCAGCGACTTCACCTTCTTTCTTTCCAGAGTATTATGTTTAGTGACATAAGTCAGAGAAAGACAAATACTCTATTATCATTAATATCTGGAATCTAAAAGATGAAGGAATTATAAGGAAACAGAAACTGGACTCAGAGGTAGAGAACAAACTAGCGGTTACCAGTGGGGAGAGGGAAGTGGGGAGGAACAAATAAGGGCTGGGGATGAAGCGGTCCAAACTACTGGGTGTAAAATAAGTAGGTGACAGTGATAGAGAAACTGTACAGCATGGGGAAGTGATAACTTTAGACGGAGCATAATTTATCAAAATGCTGAATCACTATGTTGTACACCTGAAGTTAATATAATTTTGTAAGTCAGTTTATAAAAAGAAAAAAATCAGTTATCAAAAACTCCTAACACTTGTAAAAAGGTGTATATTTGGAGATGTCTTACCTGTGGCTCCGTCCACTCCCACCCACCCCGTCCCCCCCACAGGTAAGTTTTATGGGTCTTTCACTTCTCACCTGCCTCTCTTAGTTCCTTCCCAGGGAGGGAGGTTCACAGTGATGTGTTTATGCTTCCCCACTCTGCTAAGCTGGTTTCTCCTTATTTCATCTTTCAAATATTTCTTGAAATATTGTCATCTACTCTCCCATTTTCTTCTCCTTGTGCATTTATACTTCGAAACATTTCTTTGCTGTCATTTTAGTGACCTCATGAAGGAATGGAGAAAAAGTCAGCAGAAGATTTCATTCCTGCCTGAACCCTCACGCTCTCTTTTAACCCTGAACAAATGGTCAAATAGAACTTAACTGGAAAAGAGGCAACGCTGATGTGTACAGTTTGCCACTTAGAAGGCTGACACTCACTGAACCATGGTCAGGCCCAAATTCAGATCATGACCAGCTCACAGATTCCCCCACCCCACATTCCTGACCCTCCCCAGCCCCGGCCCCCGTGAGTGCACTGTAGGCTAATGACCATCACCAGGGGAAGCTGGCTGAAGGGTACATGGGCCTCTGTCCTCTTCCTGCAATGTCAGGTAAATATATAATCATTTCAAAAGAAGCCTGTATATATTTATAGATATGATGAATTACATGTGCATCTAAATGTGAACCAATTTCTATACTTTTTGTGACAATCACAGTCACACACCAGAAAAATTACTTGGAAAGGCACATGTCCACCATTTGCTATCTGTTCAGAAAATATGGACATGGTACATTTTTAAGAAAAACTGGCAGACTAGGGAAGGAGGAGAATTCAAACTCTGTGGACACTATTCGTATCTCCATTTTAGTGACAAGAAAAGAGAAGTGCTCTAAGATGCCCAGGGTCACACGGCTTGCATGGATGCGGCCTTGGTTCCTGTGCAGTCTGGTCTTACAGGGTGTCACTTCCCCAGAGACACTCACTGGTGATCCATCTAAACAACCTTTACACCTTCACGTTCTCCCGTCCTAGCCCGTTATTTTCCTCTGAAGTGGTTATTATCATCAGCACTGTATTAAGTACTCACCCATGGTCTTCTTATCAGCCATCTTCTTCCCCTTACCCCCAGTTTATAGACCCCATGAAGGGTTTTGTCTGCCTTATTGATCTTATTGATGCTGAAGCTCCAATACTTTGGCCAACTGATGCAAAGAGCCAATTCATTGGAAAATACTCTGATGATGGGAAAGGTTGAAGGCAGGAGGAGAAGGAGGTGATAGAGCATGAGATGGTTGGATGGCAACACCGACTCAATGGACATGAGTTTGAGCGAAGTCTGGGAGACAGTGAAGGACAGGGAAGCCTGGTGTGCTGCAGTTCATGGGGTCGCAAAGAGTCAGACACAACTGAGAGACTGAACAACAATAATTGATCTCTGATCCCCAGTGCCCAGTGCCTGACACATAGTAGGCTTGCAAGAAATATTAGGTTAATGAAAAATAATCAGTTTTTAAAACAAAGGAATGTGTATCATCCTTAAGAGAAAAAATAGCTCTATATGAGTGCCCCAAATAGGATGCCTTCTCACTTGGCTTGATACCAGAAGCCAGGGAAAAATCATTCTTTCTCATTATGGATTTTTCCTGAAACCTTAGACTGGGTGTGTATCAGAAAACCATCAAAATGCTTGTAGGCAACATAATATTAACAGGGCACCTAGCATTTCCTACCAGCTTCGTGACCTCAAAAATTTAGTAGTTGAATTCGTAAGTATACCAAGGGCTATGATGAAATGTACACCGTTACTGAAAATTCAGCGTTCCTGGTTGGTGTGTTCGAATCCCTTCCAACCTCTGTAGGCAGCTGCCCATGTTGTCTAGGTTTGTCTACAGCAGGGGCACTTTCAGCACATGCTGACCCCTTGACCCAAGCATGTAGACCCGTTAGTTAAGACAATATTCCCCTAACTGTGGTCCATGTAAGAAAATATTTTCCTCAGAAAGAAATCCTTTATTTTCATGAACTCCAAAAAGGTAATAGGACATCCCTTGTGGTCCAGTGGTTAAGACTTCTCCCAATGCAGGGTGTGTGGGCGCGATCCCTGGTTGGGAAGCTAAGATCCTACAATGCCTAATAGCCAAAAACACAAAATGTAAAACAGAAGCAATATTGTAACAGATTCAATAAAGACTTTAAAAATGGGCCACAATTAAAAAAAAAACTTAAAAAAATTTTTAAAAGAAAAAAGATAACTGATATTGTCATGAGTTGGCCCAAGGGAGCCTGGGGCTGTGGTGCTGAGTCCCTGTGATAACTTGACACAGAAGGGCATTTAGATGTAATCAGTTTCCAAGCATTAATAGTACTCAACTTTGAAGTCATTCTTTCCACACCCCAATTCTTCTGACACTCTCCCCTCACTGTGGGGTGAGAAAAATCAATCCCAAGCAGAAGGAGAAGCATGGGCCCCCGGAAGCTCACCCCTCAGAGGCAAATCTAGCTCGTGGGTAAGAGCAAGGACCCTCATTCTGTCTATTGGGATGGGTTGCTCAACATTTTTGTGCCTCCATTTCCTCAACTCTCAACTGGGGATACTCGTGGCACTTACCCAATAGGGGCGGAATGAGGGTTGAACAAGTTATTTACATGCACATACCTGGTAATCGTTAATTCTTCCTGTCTCACTAGAACTTAAGCTTACTGAGGGCAAAGATGTGGTCTGTTTGAGGGACTGTAGGGCTCCAGTGCCTACTCAAGACTGACATGTGGTGAGCACTCATGAAAATATTTGTGGCATGAATGAATAAGAGAATGAATAACAAATTCTAGCATAGCATGGGTCTGTGCAGTAGCACAGTAGAAAGGGTAGCAACTGTATCTCTTGAAACAATGATGAGGACTTCATAGTTAATATCTGAATTTAAAAAATCACAAAGGAAGAATCCTTTCTATGATTGGCAAGTCCCCACTGATAGAAGGGAGTTAGCCCCCCACCCCCTGCCTCACCCTCCCCAGGATGGCACTGGGTATGAAACAGCACATGGAAGGCAGAGCATCAGAACCAGGGCAGCAGATAAGAACAGTGACTTTGGGGACTTCTCTGGTACTCTAGTGGTTAAGAATCAGCCTTCCAGTGTGGGGGAAGCAGGTTCGATCCCTAGTTGGGGAACTAGGATCCCACGTGAGGGGTAGCTAAGCCCACACACCACAACTCCTACCCCACACACCACCACAAAGGCACAGCACAGCCAAAAATAATAATAACAGTGACCTTTCCTCGGTCACTCCTGAATAAAGATATCAATTCCCCAGGGAGGAGAGATTCAATGTTAAGAACAAAACAAGGTTCCAGTTTCCCAAACATTGGAGGACAACCAGCCAGCTGTGCCATCTCCCCCAGCTCCAGCTTCAGCTGCCCTATCCCACAACTGTCCCATCCCTCACTGCCCTGACTCCTGACTCCTGGATCCCTCCTGGTTGTCTTAACATGCAGTTCTGGTTGAGGACTCTGATGCTACCAACCAGCTCAGAGAACAGCAGGAGTTCTTGAAACCACACTTTGATTAGCACCACCTAACAAGAAGCAGCCGTGGCAGCAACTACTTCACACTGGGCGGACTCCTGGGAGACTCGCTGAGTCTCTGCAGTACCGCGTTCTCCACTCGTGGCTCTCTTGAAGTCAGGTAGCCGACTCCCATGGAGAAGGCAATGGCACCCCACTCCAGTACTCTTGCCTGGAAAGTCCCATGGACGGAGGAGCCTGGTAGGCTACAGTCCATGGGGTCGCTAAGAGTCAGACACGACTGAGCGACTTCACTTTCACTTTTCACTTTCATGCATTGGAGAAGGAAATGGCAACCCACTCCAGTGTTCTTGCCTGGAGAATCCCAGGGACAG